TGGCGCCCGCCGCGAGCAGGGCGGCGCCATGTCTCCGTACGGACGGGCGGAGGGCGGGCTCCGCGCCGGCCGGTTCCCCGTGGGCGGCGCCATGCCTCCGTACGGACGGGCGAGCTGGCGGCAGGGAGGGACGCGAGGTCAGGTCACGGAAAGGAGCGGCGGGTCGGCCGCAGCCGCTGTCAGATGGCAGGATACCCTCGTGTTGCCTAGCGGCGCGGAGTGCGTTCGGCGCTGCTGTGGGCTGTTAAGGTCACGCCCACCACCTGGGCAGCCGCGCCTCCCTGGGACGGCCGGCCCGGTTCGGTTGAGGTCGTCTCTTATCTGAGTGACGGCCACGCTGTCCCTAGGAAGAGCCAGGCTTTAGTCCCGGGAAGACGAGGGCGGGGGTCCTGTCGGGGGGTACTCGGAGCGTTATGCTCTGGCGGGGACATGCCCCGCTCAGACGGCCGCTCCGAGCCTCCTCTCCCTCCGTCCCCGGCGAGGGGCCGTCGCTGTGTCGGCGCTGGGCGACTGGGGGCTGCTCGGAGAAAACCATGCTTGTCTCGGCCTGGAGCAGTGAGATAGCAAACTACACAGTAGGAATAGTTTTTGTGCCTAATCTTAAAAAATAAACTGTACGTGACTCTTTACTGTTCATTTGTAAAAATGCTTTAAGATAGAGCATAAGTCATGTATGCCTTAAACAAAAGGAAGGCAATAATCAAATCTCCCTGTAGCCAATAAAACTTGTTAACTCTAAATAACTAGAACAAGATGGAGCGGAATTAGCGCGTTCAAACGCCACTTCTAAATAAATACGTGGGCAGTTATTCCCAAAGTATTGAAAGCTGAGCGCAATACAACACCCTCAAACCATTCACTAATGAGGGCATTAAAGTACGTATTACTCCTTAAACACACACACACACTTCTCAGGTGAGGATTTACTTTAGGAGAAAAAAACCCTTAAGATACTCAACCGGAACTAAGATTCACGAAGAAAACATTCAGTTCTCACTCCTGTGTCCTGCCTAATGTGCCATTGAGCCTCCAGGTGAGTGGTTCTCAGCTCTGACTACACCTGAGACTCTCCGGGGGGCAGTGGTTCCCAAACTACCATCTGAAACTCCGAGGTGGGGAGGGGTGTTGCCAAGCAAAAGTTTTTAAGCTTGAGGGGTGATTCTAAGATGCAGTCAGACTGGAAGACCTCCTTAGCCAGATCCACCCCCCACCTCCACACCCCTAGTGAGAGTCCCCCACCTTCCTTGAAGGATTGATGTAAACAATTTTCATGTGTAGAGAGGACACTGTGACAGTACCAAAGCCCTGATTTGACTTGCAATGGCTTACTTGTAATCTTTTGATACACTTTGAATTGTTTCCTTTAAATATTAAAAACACATTGACACATGTTCCAGTCCGATTTTTGGCTGCAAGGACTGGAAACTCAGATTACCTCGAGGTAAAGCAAGTTCACTGCAAGGCTCCACAGCGAGCGGAAGGAGAAGGCTGGCAGCTGCTCTAGAGAGAGGAGCACTCTATCGTCTCCGCAGGACACAGGATCTCTCGTCACCTCTGCTGCTTGCTGCAGGCTACTTCACTCCTCTCTGCACTGGAGACTGCTGTTTCCATTTGCTTAGTTGTTGTTCCCTCATAAGTTAGATTTTTCTAGATAGAATTTGATTGGCCAAGCTGATTTTTGTGCCAAGTCAGTCTTATTTGCCTACAGGTAGGCTGCCCTTGGATCAGTGCTTAGCCATGGTCTCCTCAGCTAGGGTGGTGGGGAGCCTCACAGTCACCTAGGCATCAGGTGGATAAGTGGGGATGGGTCCCCAAGAGGGCATCATGGATGAGTGAATGAGGGCACACAGCAAACTACGGTAACAGATCTGGTGATGCAGGAGGGTTGCCCAAGGCATTCAGGAGAGCACCAGACCTGGAGTTTAAAACTTGGACAATGCTTGCAGTAAACACGACTGATTTTTCTTAAAACTTTATTCTATTCTTGCTTATGAAGTTATGATAATTTCCCTGAAATTATCATTCTATTAGAAAGTTGCTTCTTCCAGGACCATGAATATAACTAGGCAGTTAGTTCTGCCTTCCCCTGGAGAGATGTTAGTTTCGGTTGCCAAATAATCATGCTGTTCAATTATGTGCAAAATCAAGGATGCAAATCAGATAGTACACAAACAACTGCTCCGCCAACTATAGCCTCATCACAATTTCAGTAGTTTCTGAAAACTTCCTCACACTTAAATCACGAACTATCTTCTCCTCCACTTCATTGTAAGGAGACCTGCCTTCCCTTCTTGCCTATGCAAAAAACAAACAAAAACTGACAGTTATTCCGTTTTTTTTTTGTGAGGAAGATTAGCCTTGAGCTAACATCTGTTGCCAATCCTCCTCTTTTTGCTGCGGAAGATTGGCCCTGGGCTAACATCTGTGCCCATCTTTCTCTACTTTATATGGGACGCCGCCACAGCATGGCTGGACAAGCAGTGTGTTGGTGTGTGTCCAGGACTGGAACCTGAGAATCCCAGGCTGCTGCAGCAGAGTGTGCCCACTTAAGGGCCACGCCACCCGGCCGGCCCATCCCTGTTTTATTAGAATTGGTATTGTGGGTATATTATAGATATGAGTCCTCAACTTTCTCCGATTTGAAGACTACTCAGTATCAGTTATATCTTAGAAAATAAGAGATTACTGACATGCTAGCATATTGGTGCATTTTAGTTTTCCCTCTCATTAAAAGTCTAAGTTTAAATAGATAAAATTGAGTCTCCAAATTTTAATGTTTTGGCTTTATTATTGTAAGGATGAACAATTTTTTTTTTTTTAAAGATTTTATTTATTTATTTTTCCCCCAAAGCCCCAGTAGATAGTTGTCTGTCATAGCTGCACATCCTTCTAGTTGCTGTATGTGGGACGCGGCCTCAGCATGGCCGGAGGAGTGGTGCGTCGGTTCACACCCGGGATCCGAACCCGGGCCGCCGGCAGCCGAGCACACGCACTTAACCGTTAAGCCACGGGGCCGGCCCGTGAACAATTTCAAATTGTTATTTTTTGGCTTTATTTTTGTAAGGATGAACAATTTCAAATTGTATTGTATTACACTGCTTGTCTATTTACCAAATATATCTTGACACTGCAGTAGTTACAAAATAATCATTAACTTGGATAAAAAGTTGCTGAAGACTTTTAGATCTAATGACCAATTTACAAGAAATACAGGACACAGAAGAACATGACAAAGGATAGCACAGGCTTGCAATCAGCAAAATCCAGACTCTGGGAAACTCGAGAACAAATGACCAGGTTTATTCAACAACAGACAGAGACAGACAGAAGGAAGAGGAGCAGAGTGGAGAAGGGATAAAGAAAAGAACCTATAGATTTTTAAGGGATTTAAGCACATTAACCAATTGCAATTTATGGACCTTATCTGGATCCCTATTTGAATAAACTGTCAAAAGCATTTGAGATCAGAAAATTTGAACACTGACTGGATATTTGATGATATTTAAGGAACTGTGGGTTTGTATTTGATAATGACATTGTGGTTATGTTTTTAATGTCCTTGCCTTTTATCCATACACAGTGAAATTTTACAGATGAAGTGATAGGATGTTTGAAATTTGCTGGAGTGGGAGCAAGGAATGGGTGGGGGTATAGATTAAACAAAAAAGACTGGCCATGAGTTGACAGTTGTTGAAACTGTATGATGGATAGACGGGAGTTCGTTATTCTCTTCTCTCCGTTTGTATGTATGTTTGAAATTTCCCACAATACACTTTAAAAGATGAAGTTTTCAAAAGCATTAGGAAGTTAGATTTCTGACTTGTCTATAGTTTATGGTAATTAGCAAATTCACTTTATCAAAAGAGCCTAAATTTCTATCTTGTATCTTTTTTTTTTTTTTTTTTGTGAGGAAGATCAGCCCTGAGCTAACATCCATGCCAATCCTCCTCTTTTTGCTGAGGAAGACTGGCTCTGAGCTAACATCTATTGCCAATCCTCCTCCTTTTTTTCCCCAAAGCCCCAGTAAATAGTTATATGTCATAGCTGCACATCCTTGTAGTTGCTGTACGTGGGACACGGCCTCAGCATGGCCGGAGAAGCGGTGCGTCGGTGCGCGCCTGGGATCCGAACCCGGGCTGCCAGTAGCGGAGCGCGCGCACCTAACCGCTAAGCTACGGGGCTGGCCCTCTATTGTATCTTTAAGGAGTACCTTTCAAGGTACAAACCACACTGCTATTAACTTATAATTACATACTTCCTTACTGTTTAATACTTTCTTATGCAAAAATTGCAATATCCTATCATTTAAATTCCTATGATGTTCTATAAAGTATTGTGCACAGTAATTGTAAATCAGCTCACTTAAGTCAATACTTAACAGCAATGCACCATCTAATACTCAGTTTCAGACATGAAAGGGTATACAAAAAAAGTTTATTAAGTACAGTTTCATATTGAGAAGAACATCTAAGATTAAAAATGTGATTGGACATTTAGGATACATAATTTATTCT